AACTGGGGAGGTTAAGTACACAAGGTTTTCCCACAAGATCAACAATAGCCTCTGATTTCTCCTTGGCTTTTTTGCTGAGTCGGTAACGAGATATGGGATTGAGACACAGCCCAAAGAAACACTTCTTCTTGGCATTTTCTTCCGCATCAGCTGCTAAATTGTCCGCAAATTCAATGAGACTGTCGGCACTAGTCAACCAATTCTTGAGCTCTTGTGTGATTTCTTTCCCTCCTCTGCGAACAACATCAACATCGTCATCTGCAGTCCCTTTTCTAAGCTTCAACTCATCAGCTTGTTGCTTCAGATTGTCCACATTGTTGTTGCACTTGAGCACAAGAGTGATTGGATCTGATACAAGAGAAAGAATTTTACTAAACAAGTTCCCAACAACATCTCCAGCAGCATTCTGACAAACCGCACAAATACAAGCCTCGGCCATTTTTTTTTTTTTTTGGGAGTTTAGAGAAATAAATAGGTGCCAAACAAGAATAAAGAGACGAGAAACAAATGAAGCTAATGAGTCAGATGAGGATATCAAACAAAGGGGGAGAATGGTGGAAATAAGCTGATTTTGAGTAAAGGGAAGCGAAATGAGGTGCAGGGAGTTGGGGAAGAAGGACTGATCAGGCAAACAGTGGAAGGAACAAGTTGGATAAAATCAAATCAAATGTGAAAGGGTGAGGAAAGAGAATCTTGTATGGATGAGGTGATTTGTGTAAAGGGATGTGAGATGAGGTGCAGAGAGTAGCCGCAGAAGATGATAGAAAGAAGGATTGAACAGAGAAAACGAAGGAAACAAGTTGAGATAAAAGCAAATCAAATGAAATGGTGACGAAAGTAGGGCTGAAAAGAGGGATCGATTGAGCAAAAGCATAACATGAGAGCAATCAAAGTGATCCTGAATGATTTGTTTTTGGAAAGACCCTCAAATCCGCCTTCTTAAATAGGTGGGGAGGAACAGATTTGTTAATTAAAAAGAAAGATTCCTGTTTTGCAGTCCACCCGCAAGATCAGGACCATCAAAGGAGGTGGATCCTGACATTGAGCCCACCTCCCCTCGTTTTATGATCTGATGGCGGATTACACGATCATTTTTGCTTAAAAAAATATAATAATAAATTATTTTTTAAAATTATGAATTAAATAATCACTTTTTTTGATATAAAATGTCATTATATATTAACATTTTTTGTTAAAAATACTTATATAATAAATAAAATTATAACATCAAATATTAAAAAAATAAATAATTTATTTTAATAAATAATTTTAAAAAATAATTTATTTTAATAAATAATTTTAAAAAATAATTTTAAAAAATAATTTATCTTCATATTTTTTTTTTAAATAATCTCTCCCTACCGACTCATTTAGGGCACAACTTTGGGGATTGTGCCTTTGTTTTGTGCAGAAAAAGGAAGTGGATGGTACAAAGGCTCAAGCCTGAGGAAAGGCAAGAAGGCAAGGAAGAAAAATCTGTAACGTTAAGCTAGCGAAGAGAAATTAGTGGTGCTAATTATAATATTGATTGATTATTATAAAAATTTTTAGAAATTATAGAAGAGTCAAAAGTACTCTTCAGACAAATTTAGGATAGCTAGGCGTGGTGGTGTAGAATTGTAAAACTAGCATTTACCAACTTTAACCTAGTCAGCAATTTAGGAGTGGAAACTAATTAGTCTTTTTTTTTTTTTAACAATTACCTTAAAAGTTTGAAGGAAACTAATAGTATTGTATGGAGTAGAAGGTGTCATGACACTCATAACCGCCCCACAAAATTAGTAAATTTGTTTAATTTATTTAATTTTATTAATTTATTAAATAATATTAATTTATAAATTAATTTTAAATTATTAAATAGTAAATATTAATTATTTTATTTATATTTATTAATATTTATAATTATTAATTATTTTTAATAATTAAATAAATACAATTTCATTATTCTTACGTGGTCTTCAAACTTTTCTGTGACAATGGGCCGACTAGAAGTGAGAATCCATATGTTGAAACTTCACTTTTGTTATAGGTATAATCGGGACTAGAGCTATGAAAAATATAAATCTAATGGCTGGAATGATCTACTAGCTTTTAAGATTCAAAATGTTCAATGATTTGTCTAATTTCTGGTGTAAAATTGTCGTTTGCCAACCACGCAATGGATTGATATTTC